GATATTGATTCATCTAAGATAATTCTTCATCCGATTCTGCAGTAGTTTTTTGGGGTTTTTTTTTCAACCCTACAGCTAAGTAACGGTGGAAACATATTGTACTAAAACCAAATTGAATAAAAATGTGAAGGATCTAGCTACAGCAAGTCTGTTATCCTCGTCCCAGCGCTTTCGGTGGGGTTTTTTTTCTCTCTCTCGGTTAAAGATAAACACGATATCCAACGATTATCTGGCGTAAATCTGATCGAAAAAAATGGGGAATCGATCCATGATTCCCGTAGGAGATATTTTCTACGTCTCAAATTTGAATTACTCGTAAAAACTATATAAAACCTGTCTACAAATTACTGTCGAATGCAAAAAAAACGGTGAAACAGGATTTATAAGATATTTGAACTTCTCGCAATAAAAAAATTAAATGAAATTGGTTTTAACATATTGCCTTTCTTCACTTTCCTGACTAAGGAAGATGGATTTATGTCATGTTATAAAGGAATGTTTGTCTAAATGACGGTGTTTCCACCTTCTCTTCCTCTAATTCGAACTTGCAAGAGGTCTTTTTCGTGCACACCAACGTATATACGGGACAACGGTGTTTCGTTTTATCCGAAGGATTGGAAAATTGCCGTGCCAGGCCCTCCATACGGCACCACTGAAAAATCTCCTGTCATGCCGGACTTTCTCGATCAATGCGTTGATTGAGGCGGATGGGTCGTCCGTTGGATCGATCGATTAGTATACCAGCGCCATACTCGCTGAACTATCGTGGCTTTGTTACACTGACTAGTCTTTCGGATGGGACGCAAAACCGAGGTCTCGTGTATACATTGGCATGCACATTAAAGAACCCTTGGAATAATTGTAGGCCGGGCAATATTTTCCCCCCATAGCGCACTGCACGGAGTATAACCTTCCTCATTAGCCGAATCGGTGACAAAAAAGTAGGACGTTAAACCCTATTTCATAGAACACCCCATTCATATCAGTTTTAGACATAGTAAGGTCATCAGTCATCCCGTACACCATGGTCGTCGATAACAGTCTGCTATTTATATCTCCTATATCATATTTATTTTATGTTTAATTACAGGATACATGACAAACAAATTGTGCCTTGTCCCTTGAATAGGAAACACAGTGAATACGTTGGCGTGCAGGTAAAAAAAACCACCCCGACTTTATTAGCCCAGTCGGAGCAGAACAGTAGGACGTTAAACACCATTTCATTTTATTTCATTTTGTAAAAAAAAACTATTGAAGTAAGTGTAAGCTCTAACGGTGAAATTCCCACGCCCCATGTAGGCGCTAACGTCACTATTCGAGTAGAATTGATAATTGTCAGATTACGTTTGTCTCAAAATGATCGAAGTATTTATTTCGTTGACGAGACTTTAAACTCATCGTAAAAGCGTGGATTAAAGATACATTAGTTAATAGTTTTATAAAGAGTTGACCATTCTACTATAATAATTCAAAAACAGATGACAAAAAAAGAAAATGTTACTGTTGGGAGTTTGGACTAGAAATAGGCACCAATTTAACAGCACCGTCTATGAAAATTGGCGATCGTTTGATTGACAGACGATAATTCAACCCACATATTCTCGATTATCAAGTAACATGCTCAATGGCTCTGGTAGCCTAGCTTGGAAGGCCTTTCGTCGCCAGTTTCCGGTAGTGACATCAGAGACTAACGGAAAACGTTTACTTGGTCCGCCATTTATTGATTTAATTTTTTTTAAATGGACGACTTTTTAAATCCAAACTGTATCCATGTGAATAAAGGTCGAATTAATAATTTCTATAACTTCGGACGCCTAAATAAAGACTTGCAATAGGCAGATTTCGCTCTTGCATAATGTATGTTTAATCTAAAAGACACCACCAAAAATCACTGCGCCCTGTAGTTTCTTAGTGAAGAATGTTTCTGTAATTTGGTGTTTTATAAATTCAGTAAGCAATGGATAACTTAGTGCATGGGGTAGGTGGTCATTTTATTACTTACAATTACTTACAGTCGATTATTGAAAGGCAAAGACTGGATTACTGTAACAATATTTGGTAATAGTCCAAAAATAAAAATCATCTCTTTGAATAAAGGTTTGCTATAAACATTCACATCTTAATGCATCCTTGAAACTTTTAAATTTACCCCCCCCCCCTCCAAAAAAAAAATAAAAAATAAAGCGCTCGAAAACTCAATTTCTTGAAGTACTTTGAAACCAAATTGGCGATCGGTTTTAGTAAGTGGAGTCATCAAGAGTTAAACAAATAGTATTTGATTTGATTGCGGAGCCGCGGTCGCTCATAAGACGTTGGCTCGTTTACCTGGAGGTCCGGTTGTCAGTGGTGCAGGACGGAGGGCCTGGCAAAGGAAAACGCATGGTCGTTCAGATGGGACGAACAACCACGGTCCTTTGTACACATTGAAGTGCATGTAAAAGAACCCTTGACAGTTGGAATTCGAAATAAGAAATACAAGTAGGCTGTAATGGCATGTGTCTGTCTTCATTACCTCAGTCAGAGCCGAACACTTGAACGCTGTACCCGATTTTATTTCATCTGATTTAATTTGGTTGAATTTAAATTATATAAACTAGTGTGTACATTATAACAGACGGATACAAATAAAATTTAGACAAATATCAACTGAAAATAGAAACATGTGAATAACGATCTATTTCTAGGACAGATGTTACTTTCTAGTAAATAAATTATCACTCTCATAAAATAAACAATTTGCACCTATTTATATAGGTGGTTTAACACGTGCTCATGAAATCATAAGGTTAGTCTTGAGTCAAGTGGTATAGTTACAATTCCCCACTTGTACGTGACAAGGGTCGCCTATCCAACCATTTGGGATTTATTTCCATAATTCTCTTGTGCAAAGCGGGTGGTTTGGGGGGGGGGGGGGGTCTTGAGCAGTGGGAGGAAACCAGGGGACCAGGACAAAATCCACAAGATTGGACAGATGACATAACTCTTTGTCACGTGCATATTGGGATCGAAATCTCGCGACTTGACTCAATGACAAACCTTATGATCTAAACCGTACGCGTTAAGTCATCGAGTCCCTACCCCCCTCCCCACACCCCCGCTCCCGGCAACAGACCCCCAACAGCATTTATATTTAGGATATTGATAGTGCATAGTAGTGATAGCATTTAAGAAGGGGGTTAGCATATAGACTGGGGATAGCATATAGGATGGTGATAGCATTTGGGTTGGCGATAGCATTTAGGATGGTGATAGCATAAATTCGCTGGACAGCTGTGTCTCTCTCTCTCTTGGCTGGTACCCGTGATAATTTAATTCACAAACTTCAAATGGTTCAAAATTCAGCTACTAGGCTTATCACTAAGTCTAAATTTACCGATCATATTACCCCTATGTTAATCACATTACATTGGCTATCCATTCGTTTTAGAATTGCTTCTTTTAGTTTTTAATTGTTTAAATGGTTCTGCTCCTTCATACTTATGCAATTTAATTCAAATTTATAACCCTCTAGAATTTTGAGATCCTCGTCTGATTGTTTACTTTTCTGTCAACAGTGATCAAGATTTAAAAACAATAGGCGACAGAGCATTCAGTATTCAGAAACCAAAAGTTTGGAATTCTTTACCTTTTAACATCAGAAATTTTACATCAATTACAATTTTACGAAAAATATTAAAACTTATTTATTTAAAGAAGCTTTTAATTTATAACTAAAGTATTTTTTGAAGAATGTATATATTTTACTTTAGATTGTGATATTTAAATAGTCTTATTTTTTCTATATTATTTACAGTTTTATGTATAAGTTTATTAAATTTTATGTAAGTTTATTTTATTTCTGAGTTATTGTATTGTATTTGGTTTGTTTTATATTAATGTTACTACATACTTTGTAAAGCGCACTTGGGCACTAGGTGAATTGTGCGCTATATAAATGTTCTTAATAAAGAAAACAATATAGAGTGGTGATAAAATATAAGATGGTGATAGCATGTCTGGTGGAGAGAGCATATAGGGTGGTGATTGCATTTAGGATGGTGATAATGTATATGATCGTGATAGCATGAAAGGTTTATCCGCATTACTATGTGGTACGCTTGTGGAAACGCGTAGCACCCCTTAAAACGTGAAATGGACATGGGATGGCGGCATTACTACTGTGTTATATTCAGAGTATAGGATTATAACATTTAAAGTTTATGGTTATAGTATTTAGATTTTATTGCTAGGATTAGGGATACTAAGAGAAGAGGTGCAGTGAGGGGCTTTGCGTCATCGGTTAAGATGAATATCATATGGAAATTATAGGGTTAGAATATTCTTAATAGATAAAAAAAAGAATCGTAGTTTGATAGTTACGTTCCCAAATCTATATAACTAGCGGAGACTAAAAACGTTGCAGTGTCTCCTAATCTAGTACTAGGTGCAGGATAAACAAGATAAACCTGCGGAGAACAAAACGCTCACGGGGCTCCTAATTTGGGCGTAGTTATGTCTATTCGTAGATCGTTTATTTTCGTAGCAACGGTACTTGTTAACCGACACTACGTCTCGATGGTCCATTTAAACTTTTAACTCTCACGGTTGTTCAAATCCATTTAAATCTCGGGCATCCGATGTTCTAGAGAGTTTATTATAAGCTTGGCACGTGAATAAAGGACTAAATAATAATTTATATAACATCTAAAGCCAAAAAAAAGACCTGCAATGAGCAGATTTAGCTGTCATATAATGCGTGTTTAAATTACCAGTAATTGTTGTTTACACTCTACAGATTGTTGATGCTCTCTATATAAAAATAAAAGACGCCTTTGAGACTAAATTAACATTTCATTAGACATCATTTCCATATTATAGCGACGAGTCATGATTAAAACTAGCCTGTTTTTTCCCAAATCCATTAACATTATCTGCTTAAAAACAATATCAAAATATACTTGCAAAAATAAAATCAACTAATAAATTTTATTTCTGAGGAAAAAAATATACTGTCTTACCTTGCATTCTACGCCAACTGGTTAAAATAAACGACTTAAACAAGATTCTGTCTGTGCTCAAAACATTAATAAAGTCATAAAAAATATATTACGGCGTCGTGTTCACACATCTATATGCAATCTAACGTTTTTCCAGAAGCGATTAGCAGGGACTTACAAGATAATAATACAGAACAATTCAATTAAGTCAGATCCAATAATAACAATACACCCAGCGGGCAATGATATCAGCAATATGCTCAAAGATGTTATAAAGATGATATCGACAAAATGTCTTAATAATGATGATATCGGCAATATGTCCAACTGTTGAATACAGACTAAAATAACAATTTAAACTGAGTAGTTAGATATTCTGTAAACACATGTTATAGATGCCCGTATGATATATATTATATCTATTATTCCAATAGAAGTGTATCTGTGGTTACAATAGAAGCGGGAGTTTTATCTACCAGTCAAGACACGGGTGTATCTGTGATTCTATGATACAGAAGGCTAGCAATACCGTGTGGCTGTTTGTCGATCTCTTTATATTTCACTCTTGTATTATTGATCACCCCTTCTCCTCTCTGTCTTACTACCAGTTGTATGTTTTAACTCTTGTCTAACTTGTAACACATGTTACAAACTTTATAATCAATATGCTATAATAAACTTTTAAAAGTTGTAAATTCATGTTAAACTTGTTTAAAATCTCGTTAATGTTTAAATTATGGACCAACTCGGTTTTGTCTCCCCTCTGTCTAGTGCTTACTGTAATATAGACGAATACACATGGGAATGTTCTTGTTTTCAGGTCTACAAACTAGAATAAAACAGATGAATGATTTGTCAATAAATAAGAATTTATTCCTTCGAGTATACTTCGGTTCTACCCGCTAATTTCTGTTTTAAGTGAATTATGTTAAAGTATATATTTAAAGAATATGAAAAAAAGCAAGTTCAAATAGATTGTTCAAATTAATTATCAGAAAAAATCAACAACAATGTCTCATTTCTTTCCCATTTGTTTTGTTTGGTGTTTGTTTGCTTTTGTTTATTAGTTTGGAAGAACAAAGATCTCTTTATTCATTTTTCTTAATTCATAGTCCTTAATTCTTATTTCTCCATCTCTTGTCGTATTTCGACATTTGTATGTATGTGTGTGAAATAGCTTTATTTAACGTCCTCTTCCACCGAAGTGATATCGCAGACAATTACATGTTATATATACATAGTGAAAATATTTACAATGTGATTACTGGAAAAAATTAAAGGATAGTTAGATTTTTATATATATGTACAGAAGACAATAGATAGGAGGACGAGACATGATATAACAAGTGCAAAGTAATAAGGTGCTAGTAGGGACAATCACGGACATTGACAAACAGACATGAATATGGACGAACATTTAGACAGACAGACATAGACATTTATATACGAACATTTTGACAAAACAGACATGAAAGTGGACGAACATTTAAACATATTATGTACATAATATATATATATATCTTGGGTCGTTTTAGTCGGTCTGGTCGTTCTCTCCCGTTGAATGGCAGGGCGGTGCAACTCTTCCTTGGGGCTTGTTGGTGAGTGTAAGGCCTGGTCCATTCTTCCTTCCATTTGGGTTTGTTGTCCGGTATGGTGGTATTGTTTTCATCTTTATTTCTGTTGTTCATTCCTTTTGTTATTGGTTCTCTGAAGGAAGAATCCAGTCCCCGAAAAGGAGAGAGAAAAGAGAGTATCTGGTCTTACGGTGGTTTGGGGTTTTATTTCGTCTAGTAAGGTTTCGGGGAGGGGGGGGGGATTTGTAATAATAATAATAATATAAAAAAAATACTTAATTTTGATATAATAATAATAATAATAAAATATAAAAAAGAAAGAAAATCAATTCGCATTTATGACAAGTTAATATAAATTACATTCAATTTTTATTAAGAGTAAATAAAATACAATAGTGCGCTATTTGTATGTATACTAAAATTAACATTTGTATGTATTCTAAAATTAACATTTGTATGTATTCTAAAATTAACATTTGTATGTATACTATGTAATATTTGTATTTTAAAATCAATATTTGTAAATTAACATTTGTATATTAAAATCAATATATGTTTTACAAATCAGACATTTATCATGTAAATTGTATCTTTGTTTAATTGTACATCAATATAGTGATAACATTTCTTTTAGAAAATCAATAAAATACATTTACATTTCATGAAAAAAATACAACGAAAAACAAATCTCCAACAACAAATTTCCAAATACAAATCTCCAAATATCAATCTTGCAAAACAAATGTCAAAAGACGTTTCTCCAAATTTGTCTAACCTGAACATTATTACGCCAGTGTTGGGCTGTGGAACGACTCTACCAATTTGTAAAACAGTAGCCGCGTCTATTTCTTAGGGGAGATGAATTATACTAAAATCGTTTCTGAATGATAGATGGACTTATATCGACATTGTTTTAATAAACGTTGCGTTGGTTATTTTAAAACTACGCATGTCGTGTAAATATTTTATTTTGTATTTTGAGTATGTTATTTTTAAATGAATACATCAGCATATTATATTCAAATATTACAGATGGATAGAAAGACAATAGTATAATAAACGTTGCATTAGATAAAATCCAATTGAAGAAATATTTTGTTCTATCACTATGTATTCATTCAACATTTACATTAATATAAAAAATATACCACATTCAATTAGGGAATCTGAAAACCAGCCAGGGCTTATATAAATATATTTATCCTACAAAATTATCTAGTGGGTTGGGATAGCCTAGTGGTTTAGAGTATCGCTCTGCCAGCTCTAACTGACCGGTCATATCTGGCTTACGGTCAATGTGTTTGGTCTTCCATAGAGTTAGTCCAATTCATTTCATTTACTTATGTTTTCTAATCGCGACTGACGAGAAAATAATATCTTTAAATTGGTTAAATGTTTTATTTGTAAGGGAGTGGAACTTTGTCTTCAATGAATACGAACTCTCAGTGGGTCTTTTACATGCACATTTAAACATAAAATATGTAATCTGGTGGAGTTCAAGTTCTTGTCAAGTGGTAAATACGTAATTTTATGATTCCGACGAGAATTTTGTCCTTTTGTCCGAATTGCTAGTGCCAGCTTTGAGGTCCACTATCAACGTTTACATATTTCCCGATTCTATTAAAGATATGAAACACAAACCGTCAAGTTAACGGATGTAACGTGCAGTGTCATTACCAAACCTTAATATATCGGTAATTTACAGCATGAAAAAGATGCAATAACACTAATAACAGGAAATAATAAAGACAAGGTTTATATTCTCAGTTAATATCCTTTTTAATTAAGAGTTGTTTTCTTATCTATTAGTAGACATGAGGCTAGGCACGCAGAAAGTTTGAGTCTAAACTATATCATTTGACTCAATGACAGACCTAAACCCGTTCAGACGCTTATTTTTAAACCAGTTCATAATCGCTGGGGTTTTTAAGACAGCATCGTGTTGCGTTCACACGTACTATAAGCCAAACCAGTTTAACTATTCTGACCTCTTCGGTCGGAGGTTAGAGTTAACTACGCATGGGTAGCTTCATATTCTTTATTCGGTTCTCGCACGCTTTCGATAATATTGGCACTGTCTGACCCCAATATTTTCACAGTTAGTTACATTCCTGTGAAAATATTGGGGTCAGACAGTGCCAATGTTATCGAAAGCGTGCGAGAACCGAATAAAGAATGTGAAGCTACCCATGCGTAGTTAACTCTAACCTCCGACCGAAGAGGTCAGAATAGTTAAACTGGTTTGGCTTATAGTACGTGTGAACGCAACACGATGCTGTCTTAAAAACCCCAGGGATTATGAACTGGTTTAAAAATAAGCGTCTGAACGGGCTAGAAGACAGGTCGCGAGCTGGGGTTTTTAAACTGTTTTTTAACCACATTTGCGTTCAGACGCTTAATTTAAACTGGTTTAACGATCCCCGGGGTTTTTAAACCAGTTCAACTTAAGCGTCTGAACGGGCTACAAGACGACCCATTAACTCTCTCAGTAGGGAACGACGGTCGTTCAGTTAGTGGCGCACGACGGGTGGAATTTTGATGTCGATATCAGCTATGACGTCGATATCAGCTATGACGCCTGACGAGACGAAACAGCTAGACCCGTTTAATAATATGTATTCGTATTTATATCAACACTTTAGATCACCAAAACGTTACGGAACTCGAGTACGGGACAAGTTTGTTTATTTATTCTTATGTTATTTCTAGGAATCTGAAGTTTACTTCGGCTTTATTACTAGCTCAACAACTAGACTGAGACGTGCGCTGATAAAATTGGTTATAAAATGTCCACAAACGTAACTAAGATCACCAACAATTAAAAAACCTAAAGGAAATATAAGGAACCTTCTAAGAAACTGATAAGAAACTTTCAGTGCTCGAGATAGGATAATTTTACTAAACGTTCAGTTCTGAGCCAATTTCTTATAAACAAATATGTGTTACCAATATGACGGCGTTTTAGTGGAACCTTAAAGAACGGATAAAAATGCTTAACAAATATAACAGATCTACCTTTTCTATCACCTGCAATGCTGTGGTAAGATAGGCATTAAAACCTGCGTAGCTCGGGTGAACAGAATTGTTGAATAAAAAGAGGAAAAATGGTTTTAAATAAGTTTATATAATACACAAACAACACCTGTGTACCGTTTGATATATCATAAACATACTATAATCTTCTATACCATAAATACCATTAAACACAAATTATGATAATATATCTATTATCAATAAAGGTTTCAAACATACAGATACACAGAACACGTGCTATTATTTATATGTATATAACCAATATTTCTATTTCGGGACTAAATGGTATCATTTTATTTCAATAATTCGCTTGCGCTACGGGGTCTGTCAGAGTGATAAGAAGAAATTGGCAAACTCAGAGAAAATCCACGAGGTTAGGCAAGCGATAATTTTCCTTGCCGCGTACCTTCACTTAACAAGTTCCCTAATTAAAATTAAAATGAAATGTGGTATAACGCTCCACTAATGAAGACAGCCATACGCCATACAGTGTGCTATTAGGGAAATGCTTCCCCGGGCAGTGGCACTACCGCCACCTCTTCTTTAGAATTCCACTTGGCAAGGACTCATCACCGTTTACACACAAACTCGATTCATCCTAATATCCGAACGACTAGACACTGTTAATTGTATGGCCCCCAGTCCTGCACCACCGAAAAGGGAAAACCACACCTGAAAATCCCGAGGTACTTGAAATGTAAGGATCTTAAAATAGATGTAAATTTTATATATTGCTATATTTTGTGGGGTGACATTTCCCCTGTATTCAAAGCCCCTCTAGTCACCTTTAAATATACTGGTCTGTTTATGAAGAGAAAACCAGCATCATGTTGGTTAAAACATAATAAAGTTAATAGCATGATAATCAATAAGCTGTGTGTTTATTCACGAGGTC